TTCCTCTTGTTGAGCCTTGATCTTCACTGAAGACCAGCCATCAACTGTTTAACTGTTCAATTACCAATAAACAGAGGTCTGTAGAAGGCCATAGTGGCCCTGCTCCAAGTGGTCCACTGCTCCTGCAGCTCACCATGTTGTCTCTGCCTCCGCCACCACCTTGGATCTCAAATTGATGCTTTTGAATTATGGTATTTGTAGAATGGGATTTGAAGAATATTGAATACCATGACTGCTAAAAGAACAATTTTGTCCTGGAAGATATGCAACCAGGATGATCCTTAGAGGCAAGGTTGGTAAAAAATTAAACTCACATAATTTGGGTATGTTGTCAGAAGTGTGAGTCCTTGGAAAAATCATGCTAGGAAAGGTAGAGGAAAGATAAGACTTGGAACAAGATGGACTGACAATAGTTCCTTGAGCATGGTGGAGATTGTGAGGATGGTGCAGCATCGTGATAGATGAAGAAGAGATTGAGAGATTGTTAACAATTTCATCTTGCTCTGGTCCACAGTTTACACCCTTGGCACCAGGAGCTAAGAAATCAAAATATGAGTTGCACTGGGTAAAACTGTTACCAGGGACCGCTCCAAAGTGCTAAAGATCAATGATGTCAGTCTGAAGACAAAGGTGCACCTGATTCAGGCCATGGTCTTTGCAAATACTTGCTATGCATCAGAGAGCTAAACAGTATTTAAAAATGACAGAAGAAGAATTGATGCCTTTGAGTTGTGGTGTTGGAAAAGATTACTGAACATACCATGGATTGCCAAGAGAACAAATACTTGTCTTGGACAGAGTAAAACCAAACTGCGTCCTGGAGGCAAGAATCTTGAAGCTGTATCTCATACTTTGGGCAAGTTGTCAGAAAGAATTGTTCCTCGGTGAAGGACATCATGCTTAGAAGGGTGGAAGGACAGTGCAAGAGGAGAAGAGCCTGGTTGAGATGAACTGACACAGCAACTGGGCTAACAGGGTCAGGGACCATGAGATTGGCTCAGGATAGGGCAGGGTTTAGAGCTGCTGTGCATAGGGTCACTATGCACAAGCAACTTGATGGCAAGTAACAAACAACAAGAAGATTGTGAATGTAACAGGGGTTTTGTGTTATGTATATTTAACTTACACATAATTTTCTAGGGAGACATTTGTAGAAAATAAAGCATTTCTATAGAAGCACCTCCAATTTGTCTTGTTTTTTTTAAAAAATTTACATGTTAGATTCATTACCTACCTCAGTATTTTGCAAATTTATCTGCTCAAAAGACCTTCCTGAATTGCTTGTTAAAACTATAGCATCCCCAGCACCCTTTTAGTTTTTGAATACTACTTTTTTATTCTCTTAACAGTTCATTGTTATGTACAGTAAAGTTAGAATCAACCCATAGCTGACCCTCTGGCACATTTTCAGAGGCAGTTAATCATATGGGAGGAGATTGTCCATCCCTCCCGTGAAGTAGGTGGTGGCCTTGAACCATGTGCCTTTGTAACTGCAGTGTAGCTTCTTGCCACCAGGCCACCAGAGCTTCTCTTATAGTCTCAGAGGCTTAAAGTTCAAATTCAGGGTGTCTCCTTGAGGGGAAGCTCTGACTCTCTGTTAGTTCTGGAGAAAGGTCCTTGTTTTCTTTAGAATCTGTAACTCTAGTGCTCCCTGGAGCTCTCCATGAAAGTTGGCTTCTTTGGGTCAAAGAGCTTCCTCCACCAGGTGCCTAGGTCCCCAAAATTACACTCCATTCCTGGTAATTCTTGGTGGTATGGATGCCCCCACCTCCTTACTTGCTTTCTTCCCACTTTATTTACAGCAAGGGAAAAAAAATACAGGCTATTTATTCTCTAGAACAGTCTCCCCTAACATTGGTTTAGGGCTGTAATAGGATTAAGGATTCTTGTGTTCCACTCTTATTTTATTTATAATTCTTTGGTTTACTTGGTCCTGGGAGATCATTACATAATTTCCACATTATATCTTTTGATATGTGTTATTTTTGTGGGAAACAACTCAATCCATGAAACCTCACCCTCAGAGAGTCAAAATCAGTAGATCTGAGATGAGGTTCACAAATCTGTATATTTATTATGCACCATGTATCTTAGACTTAGGCATTTGAAAAATACTAATCTAAAGAATAACACTAGAATTTCTTAATTTAGCATCTAATGCCTTCCATAATTTGGACTTAGGATTTATTTCAAGTTTTTATCTTACATAATTAATATATATCTAGAATGATCTATTAATCCTCAAATAGGCACTTTCCTTTCTTAGAATTTTTCTTAATCAATTCTTACTGTCTAAAAGTCATACATACTCTGACACCCTTGTCAAAATCCTGTTTGTCTTTCAAGGCTCAGTACAAGTTTTTTCTCTATAAAGGCTTCCTTGACTCCATGGTAAGGATTATATTCTATCTCTTTTGTCTTCCTTTAACTCTAAACTTTGATTTCAGTGATTCTCCAATTATGGCCCTTGGACCAGAAGCATCAGCATCACTTGAGGGCTTTTTAGAAAGGTAGATTCTCAGGTTCTGAAGAACTCAGAAGTCTGGGAACCAGTGGTGTACTGTGGTAATTTTATTGCCACTTTATTAATAAAGTACTGTTGCTACTGTTGTGTGTCTTTAAGTCTGAACTGATCTATAGCTGACATTCCAGAGGGGTTTTGGAGGCCAGGGATTGAATGGGAGTTTTCCCATCCTTCTCCCGTGGAGCAGCTGGTGGATTCGCACTACATGCTTTTGGGATTGCAGTTTAGTTTCTTACCACTAGGCCAACAGAACTCCCTAATAATGGCCATACAAACATAAAATATGCAGAGTGCACAAAATGTGCAATAGGGTGGAGGGTTTGGGGAAGCTACACTTACTCATTGTGTACACAAAGATACCACATGTCATTCAATGAAGAGACAAGAATCTTGTTGTTAGGTGCCAGCAAGTCAACTATGACACATAGCTACCCTATTAATAATGAATCTGTCCTATTTTGTGCCATCCTCATTATCTCACATGTACCTGAGCTGCTGTCACTGTGTCAGTCCATCTAATTGAGGGTCTTCCTCTCCTTCACTGACCCTCTATTCCACACATGATGTACTGTTCCAAGGAATGACCCCTCCTAACATTCCCAAAATACTTGAGGTGAACTTTTACTAGCCTTTCCTCTAAGGTACACTTCAAATTGCATTTTGTCCAAGACATATTTGCGTGTTCTTCTGGCAGTCCATGAGATATTCAGTACTCTTCTCCAGCACCACAACTCAAAGACATTGATTTTTCTGTCATCCTTAGTCCAACTTTCAGATACATACCAAGTGATTGAATAGAAAATGACCTGACTCAGGTGCACATTAGTCTTTAAATTGACATCATTACTCCTTAGTATTTTGGAGAGGTCTTTGACAGAATTGTTTTCCAGTGCAATACTTTTGATTTCTTGATTGCTAGCACCAAAGGTTAGTGGTTCAAATACAGTTAGAGGTATGTTGGAAAAATATCTGGATAGCTGGTCCTGAAAGTTTACAGTAATGGAAAACCCACAGAGCACAATTCTTTTTAGGACAAATGGGGTAACCATGAGTAAAAAGCTACTTAATGCACTTTCCTACTAGGATGCAAAGTAAGCTCTGTAAAGTGCAGTGTGTTCATCCTTTGCAGTGCTAAAAGTATGTTTGTTTTTTACTTTAAAGTAAAAATCATTGCCAGGGAATCACACCAACTCTCTAGAGGGTTTTAAGAGGCTGTAAATTGCTGGGATGACAATGTCTTTCTCCCATGGAGCAGCTAGTGGATTTGAACAATTTGTTTGGGTTGGCACCACATCTCCTTCCCCACTAGGCCACTTAGCAGACCACAAACTGTCTAACTGAGTAAAACTGATAGTTCTTATTGTGTATATATAGGATGAGTTGGCTGGATTACACCAATTTTTCTCTTTAATTATGTTAATAACCTTTAAAGGTTGTAACATGATTGATTCAGTGGCAGAAATGCACCAATTGTGAAAGTGATGAATATAAAAGAACTACTTGCCCTTACTTTTCAACACAGAAATAAAGCCTTTACTTTTTATTCTAAGCTATTAATCTATGTTTAATACATATGATATTTCATAAATGTCTATTAATAAAGACAACAGCTAATCTCATCAGGAATTTCTTTACTCTCTTGTCTCTAAGACTTTTATTCTTACAGATAAAATTTGTTTCCCTAAGTATAAAATTTCCAAGTTGTCTTCAACTTCATACTGTATCTGTAAATTACATAGCAAACATTGCTTAGGAAGCCTAAACTCTATAAAATCTGAGATAATTTACAATTTACTGGAAATAATGCATAGTAGCCTTTGCTAGAGTAAAAGTCAGGGAACTCTTGTAGTCTCAACCGTGAGGAAATGCACTACTAACCCAAAGGCCATGCCTATCTGGAAGAAAAAAGGGCAATGTTCCTTCTTGTGATTTACAGTCTTAGAAAACCAATGGAATCTTAGCTATGAGTTGGTTCTGATTTATCAGCAATGAATTGTAATAGTAAATGTTAATATAATAAAGTTTTATAATTCAGCACATTAAAAAATGAAAAAAGCAATCTCTATTGTTTCATGTTCTATTTATTGTTGCTCAAAGTTATATATCAGGTTCAATAAGTTGGATTCTTAAATATCATTAACAAATAAGAAACAACTACTAATAAGTAGATTCATGGATTAGCATACTTTTACAGAACATTTTTTCTTAAGAAATTATAAAAATGAAATTTTTATTATGTCAGAATCAATTAATAACAAAATAATTCTTTCTAACTTTAACCTAATTATCAGCTTGCTGAAAACAAACAAAACTGTAAAAATTCCTTTTAAGAAGCTACAGCAAAATGAAAAAGTAAATTTGTCCATATATTTTCTTGAAAAAAAGTCAAAACAGATTAAATTCAAGAGAAAAGAAAGTGTGCTTTGTGATAAGGTCTCTTCATCTTATTAATATAAGAAGCATTTTGTTGTTTATTTTAGACAATGTCATCAAATATTCCCAGGGAAGACTTCATTTCTTCAGTTGTATCTTTAGGATTATACCTAGGGGTAGGGGGGAGGATGGAAAGTAAACATAAAAAGAACTATTTTTGCAACATAATTTATTTTCAAGTATGTAACATAATAACCCACTGCTATAAAGAAGAGTTGCACATTCTTCTTCCACAAATATAATAACTCATTGCTATTAAATGAATTTTGACTTATAGGAATTTGCTGACATAAAACCATTTCAGGGAGTAACATACGACCAAGAACCAATGGTAAAAAAGGAAGATATTTAAGATATACTGAAAGCACTGACCAGAAAACAAGGCCCAAGAAAACAGGAATTGATGAGATGGAAACCAATTGACATGTTTTAACAAACAGATGAAGTCCTGGACCTGCTTACCGGGCTGTGCCAAGAAATCAGGAAGACAGATACCCGGCAAATTGACTAGAAGAGATCCATATTTATTCCCATTTTCAAGAAAGATCATCCAACATGAATGTGAAAATTATCAAACAATATCATTAATATCAAGGAGCTTAATGGTGGCCTAATGGCAAGGAGCTGCACTGTAATCTCAAAGGTATGAGGTTCAAGGCCCCAACTTCTCTGTGGGTGAATGATGGGCAATCTTGTCCAGTATGATTTACTGACTCTGAAAACCCACTGGAGGGTCAGCTACGGGTTGATTCCAACTCAATGGTACACAACAACAACAATCATTAATACCACTTGCAAGCAAAATATTGCTGAACATTATTTAAAAAACTGCTAGAATTGCCATCAACAGAGAACTGCCAGAATTTCAAGTTGGATGTAGAAGAGGCCATGGCCCTAGGAATATCATTGCTGATATCAGATAGATATTGATAGAAAATAGAGAAGACCAGAGGATGTCTAACTGTGGTGGTGGTTTTTTATTTTCTGACTATACACAGGCATTTAACTGTGTGGAACATTATAAATTTGTTGTTATGTGCTGTTGAGTCGCTTGTGACTCATAGCAACCCTATGTACAACAGCCCTAAACCCTGCTCTGTCCTGTATCAATTGCACTGCCTCCGATACACCCATCCCAATTACCCAAGTCACTGAATCAATTCACCTCACAGAGGGCCTTCCCTTCCTGCACTGTCCCTCCACCCTATCAAGCATGATGTCCCTCTCCAAGGACGGGTCCCTCCTTACATGTCCAACGTATGTTAGATGGAGCCTCAGAATCCTTGCCTCCAGGGAGCTGCCCGGTTTAACCCTTTCTAGGATGAATCTGTTTGTTTTCCTAGTAGTCATTGGTACCCTCAATACTCTTTTCCAGCACCACAGCTCAAAGGCATCAATTCTCCTTCTATCCTCCTTAGTCACTTTCCAACTCTCTGATGCATAACAAGTGGTAGCAAAGACCATGGCCTGCATCAGACACACCTTAGTCTCCAAAGAGACACCATTGTTCTTCAGTACTTTAGAGAGGTCCCTAACAGCAGACTTTCCCATCGCAATACGTCTTTTAATTTCCTGGCTACTGGTGCCGAGAGTGTTAACTGTGGAGCCAAGCAAACTAAACTGTGAACAATCTCAATCTCTTCACCATCCACCCTGATGCTGCCAATTGGTCCAGTGGTGAGAATCTTTGTCTTCTTGACATTGAGCCTCAATCCATATTGGCGGCTGCAGTCCTTGACCTTCTGCAGCAAGTGCTTCAGGTCCTCCTCAGTTTCAGCAAGCAGGGTTGTGTCATCTGTATAAGGCAGATTGTTAATGAATCTTCCACCAATCCTGACACCACTCTTCTTCTCATAGAGCCCAGCCTCCCGGATAATCTGTTCTGCATACAGGTTGAAAAGGTATGGAGATACGACACATCCCTGGAGTATGCCCTTCCCAATTTTGAACCATACAGTGTTTCCTTGCTCTGTTCTGATGACTACCTCTGCGTCCAAGTATAGGTTTCGCATTAGAATGATCAAGTGTTCTGGGATTCCCATTCTCCTCAGAGTCAGCCACAGTTTGTTATGATCCACACAGTCAAATGCCTTTGCATAGTCAACGAAACACAGATAGATATTCCTCTGGTATTCTCTGCTTTCAGCTAAGATCCACCTAACATCAGCTACAATATCTCTAGTACCACGACCCCTTCTAAACCCAGCCTGGACTTCCAGCAGTTCTCTGCTAATGTGCTGTTCATAGTTTTTGGATAATCTTCAGCAGAATCTTGCTTGCATGTGAAATCAACGATATTGTTCTATAGTTTCCACACGCAGTTGGATAACCCTTCTTTGGGATGGGAACAAATATAGATCTCTTCCAGTCAGTTGGCCAAGTGGTTGTTCTCCAGATTTCTTGGCACAATTTGGTGAGCATGTCCAGGGCAGCATCTGTTAGCTGAAATATGTCATCTATTTCAGTCATCTATTCCTGGGGCCTTATTTTTTGCTATTTCCTTCAAGGCAGCCTGAACTTCTTCCTTCATCACCATAGGCTTTTGCTCATGTGTTGTTTCATGAAATCCTTCTGTGTCTGCCAATTCCTTTCAATACAGTGACTCAGTATATTTTTTCCATCTTCTTTTAATACTTCCTGGATCATTTAATATTCTTCCTAAAGCATTCTTGATTATAGCAACTCACGCTAACATAAAAAAAGGATGGTCTCAGAACATTTGATAGTGAGAAATCTATATCTCGATCATGAAGCCATTGTCCAAACAGAGCAAGAATGGTTTAAAATCTGAATGGTTTAAAATCAAGAAAGGTGTGTGTCAGGGCTGTATACCTCCTCCATATCTATTCAATCTGAAAACTTAGCAAAGGAGCAAAAAAGTGAGAGGGAAAAGAAACAATAACAACAACCAACCAACCAAAACTGGAGAGAGAATCTGGACTCTAAGAAGAATATGGCATTGAGATTGGAGGAAGACTCATTGACAACCTGAGTTATGCAGATGGCACAATCTAGCTTGCTGTAAGTAAAGAGGGCTGCAAACACTTGCTGCAGAAGATCAAAGACTGCAGCCTTCAATATAGATTACATTTCAACATCAAGAAAACAAAATGCTCACCGCTGGGCCAATAGATGGAGAAAAGATTGAAATTGTCCATTATTTCGTCTTACTTAGATCTGTAATAAACATCCTTGGCACCAACAGTAAATAAATCAATAGATGAGTTGCAATGGGAAAAACTGCTAGCTGCCAGGGACCTCTCCAGAGTACTAAAGAACAATGATGTCAGTTTAAAGACTAAGGTGTACCTGACCTAAGCCATGGTCTTCGTAATTACTTGCTATGCATCTGAAAGTTAAATAATAAGTAAAGATGACAGAAGAAGAATCAATGCCTTTGAGTAGTGGTGTTACAGAAGAGTACTGAGTATCCCATGGACTGCCAAGAGAATAAACAGAGCAAGTGAAACAAGTACTCTTTGGAGACAAGGATGGTGACGTTTCATCTTACACACTTTGAGCATGTTGTTGGGAAGGGCTAGTCCATAATGCTTGGAAAAGTGGAAGGTCAACAAATGACAAGAAGAACCTCAAAAAGAAGCACTGACACAGAAACCGTAACAATGGACTCAAGCATATTGGAGATGGTAAGAATGGCATAGGATAGGGCAGGGTTCATATCTGCTGTTCATCGCATCACTATTAACAGCCTGTATCCACAACAACATACAATCTACTAATAAATACATAATGGATACAATAGAAAATTACTATGTAGGTAATATATTAAATAAACTTCAATATGTGTAACCTAAAATCTCTGTGTGGGGTGTATGGTCAAAGATATGGCTTTATAAAATCATCTCATGAGTCAGAATTAACTTAAAGACATCAAAGTATTATTTTTGCTTTTAAGTAATGTAAAGTAGGGTCCAAGTCTCTTAGTTCTTTTAAAAAAAATAACAGGGAGTAATGCCATTTAATGGAAATGTGAACAAGTCTGTAAACTTTGACTTTTAAGGAGGAGAGAAAAATGGCTACAGAAGACCCAAAAAATGGCCAGAAAAAAAGGGCAGTGATTAATCTACCTTTCTCTTTGAACCTTTTAAATTGTGAAGGAATTGATTGGCTAAAGTACAATTTGAACTTTCTAAGCTTTTACTGATCTCATGTGACTTTATACTTTATCTAGTAAGTTAACTATTCTCAAGGGACTTTGTGATTTCTACAATCAATACATTCAAATTAGTAAAAGTGTTTATCAATTCAATATAATTTTAAATAACAATACTAAACATCAAAGTTCTCAAATATCTAGACATTTGATGCTGTTAATTGCCTTACATTAGCTTACCATGGATCTAATATTCCAAGTTTTCATTCAATAACATATTTAGGCTCCAATCTTTAAAATGAACCATGGAATCAAAGAAAAAGAAATACTGAATAGGTACAACTTGTATTATCTCTAATGAGTTCTTACCTGAAATCAATTTCCTTTTGACATTCACAGTTTCTAATTAAAAAAATCTGCTTTCTTGACAAAATTTGAAGAATTTGATTTTGTTCCAGAGCGAGGGAAGTATAACATTTTGATTTCTGGGGAAAGACCTTGTTGATTCTCTTCTTGTGAGTGGACCTGTATTTTGAAGTAAAATACAGCAATTAGTAGAAGTTTAACTATACAGATAGACTTTAAAAGAAAAATAAGTATTTTCTTACAGTATTTTCATCTCCAGTTTGTTGAAGTAACTTCACCATGGAGGATGCACTGAACTTGGAAGTATCAGAATCTGGCAAGTAAATATCATGTTCCTCATATGATGAGGCAAACCTAAAAATTAAAAGCAGTTATTTATAATATATAGTAAACAAGAAAAACAAATCATTCCAATTTGAATCAATAATTGTTCTGCTGAGGATATGATATTTTTATCATATTAAAAAAAATAGATGTTTCGTTGCTTAGACTGATGATGATTGTGGTTTATCTTCTTCCTTAGACCAAAAAATTTTCTATTTTCCAAGTAGATGATATTATTTTAAAGAATAACAGAAACACTCACTTAACAATTTTCTTTAAAATTAAGTTTTATATATACATATAAGACTTTTTATAAAAGTAATATCATGCAATATTAGTTCCTTTGGGCAAGATTTTACTTATTTCGTTCAGCACAGGGCTCTCTAGATTGACCCATCTCATAAGATGTTTCATGGATGCATCATTTTCTTTATCGTTGTTTGGCTTAATTTTTAGTCTCTTTTCTCTATTCTACTGTCACTGTAAAATAAGTATCTCTAATTATTGGCTGATGTATAAGAGCTCTATAAATGAGAATTCATTTACCCTAAAGGGAAGAAATAAAGATGTTAAAGAGCTGAATAGAAGATTTCAAAGGCCAGCATGGGAAGACAAAGCAAAGTATTATAATAAAATATGCAAACTGCTGGAGTCAGAAAATCAAAAGGGCCAAACTCGCTTAGTATTTCTTTTTTTCCCTTTAAATGGAATAGAATTTATTCTGTCTTCATGATTACAAGAATTACAATAAAGCAAACTTTTTTCACCCACTTAGCTAGATGAAGAATTTTTACATTTTTTTAATATATAGGTTGATATACCATCTTTGATATTTAGGGTTTTCCTTCATAGCTACTCTAAGGATCTTAATTCCTGAACTATATTGTAACTTGCAGCTGGTGTTCAATGCAACACACTGTTGAAACTTTCAAACCTGACACTTCTTGTTAAGGCAGGGCTGTAAGCCTGTCAAGATATGTCTTCCTCTTGGTTAACCCAGGCTCACCACAATCTTAACTGTTAAATTACTATATAAAAATATAATTGCTGTCCCAAGTTGAGTCTTTCTTCTGAACACTGGCTTCCTAAAAGAAGTCCTAACCAATCGCTTCCATCAACAATGACCCCAGGAAAGTATACCTAATATCCTTTGCAGTATAATTCAAGGGGCCAGACAACTCTGGCCATTCTGAGAAGTTTATCATTCTGTATACACATTTAAAACTGATCTCGCACCACAAACTGTAACCATTATCCCTAGAAATTAGTTTTAGCATATTCAGTTCCTAAAAAATGTCAGAGCAGGTAAGAGGAATAACTTAACAAGGAAGAAATACAATTCACTCCTAAATTCCTCATAAAATTAATGGCTTTCTTTACAGTCTTAACAGACAAAATCCAATCTCCAGTTTGTTGATGATTTGAGGAGTCCATTTTCAAGGTTACTGTCAGGTCAAGAAGAGCTTTCAGGCTTCCTCCCCTCCCCTATGGCCCATGAACTCCAGTACTTTAATAGGAATCTCCTTCTCCTTTATTGCTTTCTAGACACACTTCTGATAGCACTTGTAAAGGTTGGTGCACGGGTCCATGGAGCCATCCCCCTTGAGGAACATCTTGGCAAACTAGCAACTGAAGCACTGGTCATAATCTCGCTTCATGTTCATGCATGCCTCCCCAATGCTGTTCATGGTGGTGATGGTCTCACTCACTATATCTTAAGCTGAAGGGGCTGAAGAAAAAATTCAAGCCTTGAGTTGCAATGCTAAGGATGCTATAGACAAAATATTGAATGACCCAGGAAACATTATATGACTAGGTATTTCTGTCATCACAGGAGTCTAGAGCGAGGGCTACATGGTGGAGGGGACCTGGGGGAGGGTTTGTAAAACAATGAAAGAAT